ATCTTGATTAAAATTTCTCCCAAATCAACCCTTTAATCTTTTGGTTTGTTCGTTTGCTCCCAACTCCGTTTATTAATATAGTTGATCTTTGAGGTAATTAGGAATCTGGATTTATCAATAATTTCAGTTGCAACGAAATAAATCTGTTCATATTATAATGTTCTTTTTTTTTTTAATGCCAGCTAAAGAAAATGGGGGTGATCCTCCCAACAAGCGGACAAAGAAAAATAATAATTCGGACCAACGTTCATTCTTGTTAAAGTATGGCTCGCTTCTGGTAATGCGAGGCTACACCCAAAGGAATTGGGTCCACTTAGTGCCTAAACGTGTTAAAGCAGCAGCAGTAAGAATTAATCTCACTTTCAGGCTCATTTGCTGAAGCATATTGCATATATTGTTGCCATTTGATATTTGGAAATTGGAGTATTGCGTGTGCTAAGATGGACACAGACACAGCTACAGCTACAGCTACAGCCACAGCTACGACCACGGGTGTAATATTATTGCTTTCGCTGTTCATTAAATCCTAAAATGGTGGAGACATTGGTTTGCTCACAAAAATTGGTTGAAAGCTTTTCCAAACTTATATGGTTTCCACATGGAAGATATTGAGTATTACAATTAGTTAGATGAAAGTAACGTATATATTATAAATTTTGTTATTCTGACTTTATTTTTATGTATTTTGTTGTTAACTTAATCATTTTTTAATAGAATTAGAATCGATAAATTCAAAATTGAATGAAGACGATGAAGGGCACAAGAGTTAAAAAGTTTCCAGGTATATTTATAATGTGTATTTAGTTAAAAAAAAATCTGGGATACTAATGTGCTACTGTGGTTCGTTTTAATGAAATGTGTAATCGTTTTTGTTTAATTAATTTGATGAATATTTGATGGATTGTATTATTTTAATTTTCAAATTTATTGACATTGGATGACTATTAATGTTACTTTAAATTCAAAAATTGGATAATTTTAATCTTTGCGTGACAAGTTGTTTTGAACTGACCAACCCAACCCAACCCAACTCAACTGACACATAATTGGGTTGGGTTGGGTTGGGTTGGGCTGGGCTGGGCTGGGCTGGGCAAAAGCCGACAATCAAATCAATGCCCACCCCTGCTTCAGATTGACGGATCACCCATGGAACTCATCAACTTAAAAGAGGGCCAAGCTCAAGCCCAAGCCTAAGACCAAGTCCATCCCAACCCAACGGGCCATGGCCTTACTATGTTAAGGTAGCGTAATACTTAAAAACCTGGGGTTTTACACGCAGAACTTGATCTTCAAGTAACCTTCCGCATCCAAGCTTTTCATCAGCATCAAACTTTCCCCAAACATCAATTACAAAATGGTATGCTCTTACACTCTTTCTATTTGTGTGATGTATCTATAATGTTTTCATTCATTTGTGTATTTCTCTACTTACTTATAATTTATATCTCAGGGTGAAATTTCTCAATATCATTTTTTTTACACGTTGCTTCGAAGTAATTGAATTGTTCATTTCTGTGATTTTAAAAAGAA